CTCAACAATATAACTGTTATATAATACACGTGTTATATAACAATTATATTATTGAGTGGGAAATTACAACTAACAATTATATAACTGTAACTTGGTGTTTGCTGGGATATAAGGTAATCACAGATTTATTGCAATCATGTTTTTGATACAATGGCATGGCCTCAATTTAAGTACGGAAAGAAGCGCTTGTGTAGATAGCAATACTTTAGATATTGATATCTAAAATCTGCTTATGAAAGAAATTTTTTATCGGGTTATATAATAAAGATAATTGATATAAAAAAAACAAAAAACTGACCTATATAAGGAGTCGCAGAGAATACTGCGACGCATTACATTGAATATACAGAAACACTGACCGAGTTGTGAAGCAAGTTAAAGTTGCAATTGTTAAAGTTGTAAATATGGTAAACCCAAAGGATTATGCTTCATCTGACGATATTCAAAGATACAATGTATCACGTTTAATCGATGAATTTGCTGATGATTTAAAGAAAATCTCCGGAAAATGTATGGATATCGGTTGTGGACCGGGAGATGTAACGAATGATATTCTTTTGTCATCTCTTGACCCAAATGCAATAATAATTGGTAAGTAAACAAATAAATTGTTTATATATAACTACAAATTGTCGTGCATTATTACTTATTGTTAATCCGATTATTGTATATCATGCAGGTACGGATATTTCACAAAGCATGATCGAATATGCAAATATGACGTACAGTGACGAGAAACGACTTGGATTCGAAGTATTAGATATCCAAACTAAAAATTTGCCTGAGAAATATGTATCGGAATTTAACCACATTTTTTCATTTCACACTTTGCATTGGTGCAAAGACATTCGGTAAGTAAGATTATTAAGCATATATAAATTAATAAATTTCTTATAAAAATATAATTTTTTCTTATAGGAAAATTTGGTATTTATTAAATGAAAAATTTCTATTAACAAAATTTAAAACTGGTCTAAATAAATAATTTCTGTGTAATTTTTAATTTGAAATAATTGGTTTTAGTAACATCTTTTGCGTGATTTGACATAATATAAACACAATTTTAATTCACAAATATTATAATAAATGTATACTTCAAAAATTATTTACATTTATCTTCTTTATTCAACAGACAAGCGTTTGAAAACATTTATCGCATGCTTCGACCTGGTGGAACTATGCTTACATTATTTGTAGCATCTCATGATGCACATAATGTTTTTGAACTAATGGCACAAGATAATCACTTTGCATCGTACAAGGAAGTAATTATTATATATAATGTATTTATTTCTAATTTTTCAACTACAAGTTACTAATTATTATTTTTACGTAGGACGTAAAAAGGTGCATTTCACCGTATTTTTATTCAAAAAATCCTCACAAAGAAGTAAAAGAGTTACTTAAAAATATTAAATTTGAAGTTTGCCATTGCAGTCATCGAGAAGCGACATTTTCCGCTAAAGATTCAAACAAGTTTTTATGTAAGTCTTATTAAGAACTTATTAAAGTTATAAATTTTATGCATAATTATTATCCGTGTTATAAATCTTTTGCATTATTTATATATTGATACATTAAAAATTTTAATTTTAATTATTGATTACTTTAACAGCTGGGATAATGTCCATATCCACATTTTTGGATAAGATGCCGCATGATCTCGCAAAAGAATTCAAGGATAATTTCGCACGTGAATATATGAGAAGGGAGATTAGCTATACATCAATATGTGATAATCAAGAGCAAAAATTTGTATTAAATATACATAAAATAATGATAGTTTATGCACGAAAAGTTATATAATATTGCGTATATATGTATATAATATACAATTAAAGAATATTTAAAAATTTGATGCATTGAGAAAAATGGTTTTTATTATATTAATAAAACGCTTCTGGTAGAGTGTATTTTTGTTAAACAAAATAGAAATTCTGGTTATCGTAACAAGATATCTTGTAAAATATTTTACATTTTATAGCTACACCGTTTGGTTAACTTTATTATAAAGATCTGATTAAGTGTTTTCTTGTTGGATCTACAAAACTTCTTGTTATATTTACATAAATTGCAGCGCTCTGCAACAGTTTCGTCATTACTCACTGAACGGTTGATCAACTGTTCGCTGCATTCATTTGTTACACTGCTACTGCGCCTTCGTTACTCGCGGCAATCGTTCTAAGCTTTAGCTTCTTTTTTACCATGCAATTATAGTCCATTTTATCATCGATTTTTTTTCAGTGTGACAATTAAATTGACAGGCAAATTACAACATTTGTAGTCGACATTATATCCAATTATAGGTGATTATATAAATATATAATTACATAATTAATAAAAGAAATATTTTACAGAATAAATTTAATTTTATCATTTTGAGAACTTTTTAAATGAGAAATGAGATTTTACGGAATATCGGTTATTTAAACACGAAGATTTATTTGTGTTAAATAATAAGAGTAAAAGAAAAATATTTCATTGATTTTATATAAGGCTCAGCAGAACTTGTATAAGATATACAGGTTCCATGATATACACATTAAACGTACATTAGTGACAGGAACATAAACAATTATAGATATTGACTGTTATTTTCACAGCATCTTCGATATCGCAGAGATTTGAGAATAATTTAGGAATACTTGTAAATAAGACATTTACATCATATAGACTTTCGTTTTCTTTTACGTACTATCAATACATTAGTCTATAACATGATGAAATATATAATGTACTTTTACTTTATAATATAACGCAAAATCAGGCACTTAACTCGCTCCTCGTTGCATAACTCTTTTATCTGATACTTTTACTAACACAAAATATTTCTGAGTTAACGTAACGTAACTTGATTATACAGAACATCTATAACAAGAAGATTCTTTTAAAGCCAGACAACTTTTGCCTGAATTTCTCTCAGATGTGCCAAATAGAGAAGTTCGGAACAATGTGAGAAAATTCACAGATCGAGTTAAGTGTCTCATCTTGTACATGAATATATTTTATTATGTAACATATCAATATGTGTATATAATATGATATAATAAATATATATTTTACAAGATATTTTTCTTTTGTATTTTACATATGAAACTTTTATAGTATATAATATAATATAGAGCCATAGTGTAACAGTGAATGTTACGCAATCTCAACTTTTATAAGAGTTACAAGGAAACATTGATGATATATGGATAGTCGAATATTTCATGGCAGGATGATCCATCTTCCTTCTTCCATCAAAAAAATTGTATATATCTATGTATATCGACGAATCTATCACATTTTTATGTTTCAGCAACGTTGTTGATTTAACTTTACTAGTTTGCATATGCGTTTGTATTTATTTTGTTAATTGTTAATAGTGTAAGTAATAATGATCGATTCTTCTTATTGAATAACAATATAAGACAACATTTTGCTCGAGCCATTGTTAATAAACTGATAAGCAGAAAAAACAAGAGAGTCAATAAAGTATTTCAATGGTGAAATTGTTGATAAAAAAATCTTAAAAGTGTCAGAAACTTGTTAAATTTTCAAAAGTTTTTTAGATATTCTAAATACTTTTTAAAACAGTTTAGGGAGTTCAAAGAACAGAAATGTTTGAAGAATATTATAAAAAGGTAATTGTTTAGAATGTAATATTGTTTTTTTAATCACATTTTTCTATCAAAAAAACAAAATAAATTTATACTGTAATATACTCCAAATTGTAAATTTTATTATTAAGCAATTAAATTATTATTAAGTAATTTAAAAAATATTGCAAAAAGGATTAAACTGTACGGAATAAAATATTGAACATAAAAGGCTAATTAAATTAATTGCTTCACTGCCATTAATATCAATATATGGACGACCAGTGTTTACGTGTTTACGAAGGGCCTATAAATACTCTCATCAATTACGTTCGATTTATTATATTTATCTTTTCATTATACGTGTATTTTTTTTTTCATTTTGCAGCGAAAAGTTGAAATTCAATTTAATGAGATACATAAATAACACGATATTTTGTTATATTGGTAATATTCGCATGCTTCATAACTTTGTCTGATAGTATCTCGAATTTTATTTCTATCAAACATTTAGCGCCGATCGCGCTGATTGTCTGATTTTAAATTGTTTAATATAGAAGTCAAACAAGAACAACTCCATTTAACATTAAACACGTGATGAAATATGATTAAGTATTTCAAGATGAAAGATATCGCATAAGGACATATATGGCTCTGTAAAATCCATGGAATGTAGAATCCAAAAATCCACATCTAACAATTTGTGGATCAACGCATGGAAGATCTCATAAAAAATTAAAATCCGAAGAGAAAAAGTTTGTTACGCCAAAAAGACTCATAGAATATTTAAAAAATATAGAAGTTTGTTATTTTCGTATTATCATTGTTATAAACGTTCATAGACGTTTATGGAATGAAATAAACTTCGCGAATGTTACGATCTACTTCTACTCTATCGTCGTTTTACGATCCTATTGATAAAAATAACAATCCATGTGTGTGTTTCTATATTTCTAATTGTTTTATCTTCGTGTACGATCAATTGATTTTCGTCGAGTTTTAAAGTCTAACGCTTCAATAAAAATTCGTTCGATTGTTCGGTATATAATAACAGATACAATTAGACAATTCTTTTTTTAAAGGTAGCGGTAATCACATTTTGTAATGATACTATCGCCTTATAAAAATGCTAGTCATGCTAGTTCATGTTTTATAACCCTCTTGTGCAAACAAATACAACAAGAATAAATCATCATTCATTCTTAGAGAACATAGTTATCTAAATATTATAAAAACATTTTATAACTTTAAAAAATTTTTATAAAACAAAATATATTTTTTATATAACCACAGTCTATAAATTTGTACTGAAAGAAAAAACGTTCTAAATAAAGAACATTTCTAATCTAAATAAATTTTGCTTCTCTATTCTTCTGCTTGTTAATTTGTTGAAATAATTTGCAGATTTTAGATGTAATTAATTATTATTACGACAGGTATGTTTCTGCACAATTCTCACTTTTCAATTTGTTTATAACTGTTGACCTCACATATAATTTTTTCGACGTTTAGATTGTAATTTGTTACTGAAGATGATCGCATGTTACTGAAGACGATCGAAACATTTAACTAATAAAAAATGATCTTACATCACTCTTGAGAAAAAAAAAGTTTTCTTTCGTTTTTATCACAAGACCCATATTGGCTCTGGATCTCCTAATTTCCTGAATTGTATTATTTGCAGAAATTCAAGAGAGCAACCAATTCATGCACATATAATACCTAAACCTATATATATTATTTTTAATTGTTAGAAATAAAGTCGAAGATATTTGTATATAAGATATAAATGCATGAGAGGGTTATTATATTTCTAATGTTTATCAAATAAACATATCTCACAACACGCTATTATTGATTTATATTAATGAATTCAGAATGGCCAGAATATAAACGTAAATTTCGATTTGCTTAATTTGCTTCTGAGTGCAGAAGGATTGAAAGATCGAAGAATTAAGCAAGAATATAAATCCAATAATTTTGTGTAAGTTCCGTTTTAAATATGATTTTATATTCAAAAGTGAACCTTATAGAATAGATTTTTACCTTAATTTTGTAGCAAAATGCGTGTTTGCTCCAATCAGGATTATTTCCGTATTCTCGTTAAATCATATACATTCGTCATTGCCGCTAGCGACGCTGGTTTTGTTTTCTGATAGGACCGTCGTTGCTGTTTGCGCGAATACCATACCTAAGCAACCTGCTCGTATTCAGCCTTGTTGATGTTACTAGCTAGACAGCACGCCAGGAAGATGCCCATCAACGGGAAAAGGCTACACCAATCGCTGTGCCAGCTACCACACCAATATTGCTGTTTATTAAATTCAGCACGCGATTGTAGCATCCCTGAAAAAAAATAAGTAGTAACAATTTAGAAATATAAAATAATAACATAATATAAAATCGTACCTCGGTATAAATGTCATTCCTGTTGTTCGTGTCGCATTTATCCGCACTCGCATTGAATTCTTTGCAGCAGGATGAAGGAACTTTGATCCGTGGAATCATCTCTTCCCAATCGAGATAACTGCGACTGCCGCAGCAATGCAACTGTAATTAATAAATTTTTAAAATATATAATGTAATTTTAAAACAATCAACAAAGAGTAAAAAAAAACTTTAAACTTTTCTATTTTACTTTATTTTCTTCTTTATATTAAAATTAATTAATAAGAATTCTATCAGTAATAATCGAAATAGCGAATGCGAATAGAAACATTGTCGATACTCACGGTCGTTTGCATAACGTCGATATGAGTATGTATGGATTCGTCTTTTTCATAAGCTGCCATGCTCTCGTTCAAACTTTGATCGAATCCCTCGTTCAAGCTCGTGCGATAAGCGTAAACTGACGCGCCTGCACCGAGTTCCAGCAATGCCACGACAGCCAAGAACGCGCCGTACTGATATGAAAATGAGAAAAATAACTCTCATAATCATAATGTCAGAGAAAATTGCCACTTCTAAATTTCTACTTCAAAATATTTACTTTCAAATTATTTAATATAATACTTTCAAATTATTTATTATAATATTTATAGAAGGAAAAATAAAATCAAAACTTTTACATCATGCGAAAAATATTGAGGAATTTTCAAATACTGTGTATAAAGCTATAAAATTGTGAATGTGAAATATATAACGGCTTCAGGCGATTCTAAAAAAATATAGAAATATAACTTGACATCTCAATGTAGATCATTGATATACAATTTATTTTATGAACAGTTGAGTGGCAAGTATCGTGTTCAGAAGCGTCTCTCCCTTTACGCGATAATCACATATCGAATATCTACCTGTAATTCCATCTCACTTCTCCCGTGGGACCTAAAGTCCATTTTAGATATACGTATATGAAGAATGATTACCAGATATAGTAGAGCAGGATGACCTCGCGCAGTACAGCAACAGGCAAGTATTGCTGCGACAGATAATACCGCGCCTAGGCATGCGATTGCTAACAAAGCTGATCCGCTACCCTGCACACTCATATTCACATAATCTCGCAGCTGGATGCGCATCCATATACCGATGCACAGCATCAACATCCCGGAACCCTGTAAAATACAAAAATTCAATATTAAAATCACTCGTCAAACGATATGTATTAATTACAAAATAATACAGTTGAAATACATATTTTTAGAATAATTGTGAAGCGAGTACATCTATTACAAGTAGCTGGAAGTATGTCACGTTTTGATAACTTTAAAAATTTGTCTTTGGTGAGTATAAATTTTCATAACATTTTCTTCAACGTCAATTTTCACTGCAGCATATTGCACAGAAAAACATGTTAGTGTAACATGAGGGGTGGTTTTAAATATTTGTTTGAAGAGTAAAGTAGAAGTAGCGTTAATAAAGTAACATGAATTATTCAGTAAACACTGGTTAGGCGATAACAGTTACGTCTGTACACTGACAAGAGTGACGGTTACTAATATAAGCGATAACAGTCGTATATGTATTACAAATGAGACGTTTAATTAACATATTTTGAGAATTCGGAGAATTCTGAGATTTCGAGAATTAAATAAAGAAGTATATGAATTGCAATAACATCACAGTTCTCATGCTGTGAATCAAATTTTAAAAATCTATTTAATGACGCTAGAATTTCTAAATATTTTAAAATTCTGTTTCTTAATATCCTAAATATTGTCTTTTAGAGCCTTGTGTTGTCTAGCTGGACATCATATTCAAGGTCACACGTCTCCACATCTTCATCATCCCATATTCATTCACCTTGCTAATAAAAAAAAATTAACACTTTCGTCATTAGATCATTATTATATGTATTATCCCAAAACAATCGGATTCAATATCGTACAAGATTAACGTTGCCATCAATTGTGCAACAGTTGGGTAGGCTCAGGGTGTGTGGCAAAAGGTTCTATGATTATTACGCAGTCAATGTTAGGACCACCAAAGGTTTCTGCTTACCCAGAGAATAAAGTTGAAGAGCATTAGCAGGGTCTTCAAGCAAGTCATCGTGGCTACGGTCTCCAGTCGCTTGCTCATCTCGATATCTGTCTTCACTTGCTACTTATAAAATCGGAACGGGCGATCCGAAGTACGCACTACCGGGTCTCGCTCAGCGATGGAACTCCCACGATCGATTCGCGAAAGGTTTGCAAGTAGATTTACGTGTTGCGTGCGTGGCTCTTGCCCCTCTCTCAATTGGTGCATGCGCGCTACCCCGCAGAAGCACTATTGCGATAGCAAGAAAACTTCTTCAATCAAAATCATTCTTCAAGTAACAAGTGAGCGCACTGTGGACAGTGTAAATGTCAGGCACATGCATTGGGCACATGTTATCGTATAAATCTCTAAAAAATGATTCCGAGACATTATTTGTGATTACACTATGCTGTAATTGAATATAGATGTATAGAAAATATTCTTTTTTCAACACAAAATGTTACGATTGTACATAATGTGCGGTAATTCTATAATAAGGAATATTGCTGAAAAATATATTATATTATTGATAAATATAAATGGTTGAAATATATTAGAAATACACATATATTTTTCGCAAAATATGTAACATTGCGTCATATTTGATAAAATCTGAAAAATTTCTTTCGCCATAACGCTACACACATTTGCTTTTAGCTTACATTATACATTATTGTATGTATACTTTATTTTAATCATTTATATGCAATGTGAATGTGCTTATGAATATAATTACAGCAAAGTCTATTTATTATTTCATATAATCATCACACAAATTTTCCTCACCCACTGTAACTATTAATCAAAAGTTTCTCTGCAAAAAGTCATTATATTTGCAATTCGTCATTACGTTTTTATTCGCGCAGAATTCCGTCATCGATAACATGCATTCCTCAATAAAAACCCTAGTAAAACGTATAATAAAATTTCGTGCAAATAAAATAGCATGCAAATTAATAAAGAAACGCGAAGCATCTCCATTAATAAAATAAATAACAGTAAATATAAATCGCTGTTATTTTGTAAAATTAGTTGCGTAATCAATCGAAACGCTTATATGTTTATTTTTCTCTTCGACGACTTTTACTCATGAGGATTGCCAGCGACATCGAAGTTGTTGGTGTAATTCAAAAGGATTCCCGGCCAGACGACATTGTTTTCGCCGACGATTGGCGGCCTCCGCACATTCCTAGATGATCGTTTGGTTTTCCGGACCGAGCGAAACCTCTTCATCCTCTCGTGGCCTTTCGACTCGTCCTCCTGATTCTCATTATCTATTTTATCCATCTTCAGGCTGTCTATATTGTTGTTTTCCAATTGCCTCTCATCTTTTCCATAATTGTCTTGATCAACCAGATGAGAAAGCCGCTCGTCTCTGGCTCGACTGTTCGTCAAATTCAGGTCGAGTTTGGACAGGTCCACAATTGGCCAGGCGTTTTGCGTCATTCTGTTCTCCTCTTGTTCAACAATAACAGTGTCTGCAATATTCAGATTATTTAAACGATTGTTGTTACATGTCTCTTTAGAAACCAATTTATCAGTAATTAGATCGGTGAGCGAGCTGACGTCCCATTCAACCAGTTCCTCGCTGCTGATGGATACTTTCTCCTCGTCTTGGTCCCTGAAGTCTCTTTTGTCGCTCCTGATATCACCGATGGTCTTAAAATAAATGCTATGATCGTATCGATACGTTTCCAGACAGTTGCTGTCCAGCTTGCTGTTCGACTGATAGTTGAAAGTGCCGCAACAGTTGATCTTTGTTTCTTCCGGACCCGATTTTCGTCTGGATCGCTTGAGACTGTAGAATTGCGGCGTGCAAGCGGTCTCGCCTGAAGATTCCTGCGTCGCTTGCTGATTCTTGGACCATCTGATTCAATTCAATATTTCTTTTATTCAAATCTCGTTTATTGATTATAATTTATTTGTATATAGTATACTTATATACGCACTTTCTTTACATTCTTTTCAATTTTTAAAATATTTACTCTGAGATATTTTTTGCATTTTCTCTTTTTATCTCTCTCACCTTTGCGATCGAAGACGATAGTAGCCACGTGCGAAAGCCGCCCATCTCTCAATCCTCTGAAACACGTATTCCGTCTCCTCGCTCCACCACTCAGACAAGCCCTTTTGTACAACCGTTTCTCTATCTTCTGCCACAGTAACCATTCTGATGATCGCAAACAAGGGCGGAAGCACTGAAAAAGTCACAAGATTATTCGCAGAGTGAATTACTGATTAATGGCCGAACGAATAGACGTAGTGTTAGAAAAGCGATTTGGCTCGCAGAATACACCGGGGCCCATTTATAGGATTGGTAAGAAGCACTGCAACCACGGAAGCCATTGACGATCGTGGCCGTGACCTCGCGTGATGGTGCAATGTTTCAACCGCGCCAGCTTGAAGACACACTGCGAACAATTACATCAAGATGTTCCTCTTCAAAAAATATGCAGAGAATAAAATTATCTCCAAGCAATATCTCAATCTATAGAATAACAATAAAATTTAAAAAGTTTGATTGTAATTTAAGTTTAATTGCAATTAAAAATGTGGAGGACGATAAGGACAAAGTTAGCTGAAAATTAAATAAAAAAATAATTTGTAAGTTTGATTGCAATTAAGAATGTGGAAGAACGAAAAATAAGATTGAGAAGTTAGCTAAAAATTCAAGAAAAAAATAAAGTTTTATTATTCATTTATTGTTAACTTGATTTACTTGTTCCTTAAAGCTATCGGTAATTTTTCTAAAGAAAACAGCGAGTTTAAGAGTCTTTCGTAAATAAAACTTTAAACAAGCAAAAAGATTATGAAGACATTCCTAATATTTATTTGAAGAAACTTTACTTTCGTAGAATTTTTATTTCAGCTTAATTGCAATAATATAGCATATAACATCAAAATATAAATGTTTTCCCTCTGATATTTTCGTTGAAAAAAAAGTTGGCAAATCGATCAAATCTGTAATTAAAAAAACAATTATATAAACATGCAACAATCTGCAGATAAATTCCACGTTGTTTTTAAATTAAAATCTTAGAACTGTTCATTAAAACAATTAAAACTTTTGTTGAAGCATTTTTTTGCACGTAATTGGGTAATTGCGCAAGTGCTTGTTCTTCGTCGACGTATTAACTCCTTAATCAGACAATCGAGGAAAATGGATGCAACTACATAACAGGTGGCTGACAGCGGGGCAGAATTGTTCATGTCATTATCTATCAGCGGGCGCTGCCCACACTCTTTTCCGCTCGAAGATTTTAACGTCTGATTTTTCCGCTCGCAGAAAGAAAACAGAAGAGCCGGGACGTGACATCGGTAATGCGTTTAGCCGGTTCCCTGCCAATCATCGGAGCGTAACATCGCGGAATATTGAGCGACCGGCGGCGGAGGCGTTTGCAGAGAGAAGAAAGAAAATTGTTTATCAGTGCGCGCGGCGGTACATGAATTAAAATTCAGTACCACCTCCCTTCCCGAGCAGCTTTTCCAACTGGGGGATGAACAATGTTGGTCGTCGTATAAAAACGCGCGTTCCGCGCGTACCTTACATTCCACCGTCGATTTTTCCAGCGTCCTGTGCACGCAGGTAAGTGCTGATGCGAGATGTTCCGATAGCATCGAGTGTCCTTTTACCTTTTAATTTCACAGTAGACACTTTCGTTCCGCGGTTTCTGTCACAGACCTCTCCGACGATCATATTATCGTTTGCTTTTACTTGCGTTGGACGGTAAAAAGTGAATCATCTTCGAGCGAAAAGACATGTTCAAAATTTGGAGCAAGTGCTGTGAAAACAATCAGATTTCGATTCATCAGTTTAGTTGCATTATCAATATATATTATATTTAACAGCCATTATATTTGAATTAACAGCTCATCGATTTATTCGATCTCTTTTAGAAGAGGATTTTTATGTGTACGCATGATAATACATTTATGTTCTTACTCAACGCATATCACAAACAATTGGCAACATATGTATTGACAAAGATCTGCGTAAAACGAAAAATTGGCAAATATGATTGCAGACATGAATCTGACTCTCGCGCTGTCTTGCATGATCGCAATCATGTGGCTGTTCTGTGGAAGATGTAAAGCAGCTCCGGGATTAATTACCGGTATGCACCGCAATTTAAGGAACCATCCACATATTCACGGGTAATTACTATATTATAAGTTAAAAAAATAAAAAGTAAAATAAGATACACATCGATAATTCGGCGCTCTTAAAGATTAACAACGATATCGTGTTATGCTTCACCGCAGATACACCGTGGAAGGCCTCGTGAAGGATCTCGTGGAGGACCTCGTCGGCGAGGATGAGGACAGTCTGCGACTCAGTAAACGCCAGCAGCTGGACGATTACGGTCACATGAGATTCGGCAAGCGATCCAACGGCGAAGACGAGGAGTACGGACATCCGCGATTCGGCAGAAATATTGAGTAAAACGCCACCACGCCGGATTCCTCTAGATCGTAGATCGTGATCGTGCACACATTTGTGCAAGATGTAGATAGAATATATTTTACATTGCAGCTATTACAATCGTGTCTCGTTATTTTACCTTCTCCAGTTTTTCTTTACGCTGCGAATTAATCTGTGTTTCCTGAAATTACGCTTACAATTTTATCGTAATTACTTCGGATTATTTTGTAACCATGTCGCTATACTCCCTTAGAAAGATAATTACAATTGACGAAATTATAAACCATTCAATTTTCTTCGTGTGTTAAGATGCATTAAAACGCGCTAACGTGCAAAAATAAAATCAGTTCTCGATTTGTTAAAAATATCGAAGTGTTGTGTTAATTCTCAAATATCTTAGTTTTATGAATAAAGAGAAAATCATTGCGTTCATTTTATATGTTGTTTTTATTGTATCCCTGCTTTATTTAAAACATATTTATCAAAAGCTTCAAATAATTACTAGTACCTCTTCTTTTAATTTCGAGAATAGATTAATTGCATAAATTTATTTAATGAAGCAATGAACAAAATCTACGCATTACGCCGTATTTAATTCATTAGTCGTTATGGAATTTTGCTTCTGTTTATCGTTTATTAAGATCTCGTATAGCTTACGTCTTTTCATTTTTAAGTCTGCTATTCTTTGGTGAAGGTCCATGTCATCATCCAAAAATGTGTGATGTCCGCAACGATTTTCTAAATCCTGAAGACTGTAGCCGACAGTGCGCCGATTTAACAACCATGGTTCCGGTGGTGGTGGCAATGGTGGTGGTTTTGGTTTCGGAGGATGAGGTGATCGATAATCGACGTTCACGGTGGTGCGATAATCCATTTGACAAAAAGCCATGGGATCCAGAAGAATATCCGTCAGTTGTAATTCCTTTTCCTCATAGTCTTTTCTGGCAAAATATTGGATTATGTTACCATCACTTTAATTATTAAATAAAAGCTTATGAGACAAATGAACCACTCTGGAAATATCTTTTTAATGTAGCGTTTGGCCCAAAAAATATACAAAATAAAAAGAGACAATTATCTTAACAAATCCTTATAAATAAAATATTAAATTACAATTAAGAGAAGCTCTTTGCTTCTCATATTAAAAAAATGTTAGAATAATTTTTCTCTAGATTTCAAAGATGAGAAATTTATTCTTACAGAATAAATTACGAATAATCTTTTTTAGTTCGCCTGATATTTTTAGAAAAAAGTATCAAAGATACGTACTCTGCCGAAGCGAGCGATTGCATTGCGAGTAAATTACGTCGCGGACAAGTAATCGGTCTGTGCTCGTCTTTTGACTCGATTTGCGACAGCATGTCGTGTGTCTCCGAAATTCCGATGCTTTCTTCTTCCGGACCGAGTTTGTGATAGGAAGATTTGTGAAGATTTCCCTTCGGCGGGAATATATCCACGTTGTCTCTAGGCTCCGCCAAAGTTTTCATCTGCCTGTTAATCCGTTCAAACAAAATCATTAAGAGACCACACCAATATTGACTTAAAGCTAGTAAACTGCAACATTTCCATTTCATTAATAATCTGTCTAATTTAATTGGATTAATACGTCTAGAAAATTCTATAGATCCACCCGTTTCTTTGTATTGCAGAAACTGTTATCATTTTATTTTTAATTTAACTAGATTAAATAATGAACTCACTCTTTTATTTCTTCTTCCGACAATAAAGATTTATTTTTATGTAAAGCCATTTTTAGAAAGCACTGCACTAATCGCTAGTCTAATTAAAATTTTACAATTGTTGACACTGTGCCAAATAATGATATATAATGTAGGTACGAATGAAACGTGTGAGTAAAATAAAACGCGTTGCTAAGACTAACAATCGCAGTTTTCTCTGCGATAAGTACTTCCCCCTCAATTCCATTAAGTGTATATGTGATATGCTTGTATGTGCACGATATTGTCACGATTTATCTATGCGAGTAACGTGTATACAATATTTAAAACTGTAAAACTGATTTACAAAAGAGTTTTAGGATAATGAAATAGATTTTTATGAAACTTTTCTAAACATTAAAAATAACATAACATTAAATAAATATTTTTATGGAGACTTTTATACTTTTGAGATTAAATATCTTTCAGTTTAATAAAATTAATTTTAAAAATTTAATTATATAAAATAATTTAGAATTTATCTGGCAAGCATTGTCTTTCTTGATGCATATTTTATAACACTAGACCATATTTTTTTATTAGAATAAATACAAATATTCCGTATTTACCAATCGTGAATTTTGACTTTATTTCCATACACTGCTGGTACGTGAAACACAATCCGTCCAGTATCTTTCTCTTCATCATTGTAACTTCCAAAGATAGGCTGTAATAAAATAAATATATTTATTATAACTATTAATATATAATATTATTATTATAATAACTTTTCTAAAATTATTCAAAAACTAAAGGTCATAAAATTTTCAATGTCTACGAATCATTAACATAGCTTTACGTTTATCTTTTTCTTTTTTAGCATTTTGTGTCACACAAGTGTATTTTATTTCCCCAAATTAAACGTTAAGAGATTATTAATCAGTAATCATTATATAACATCTGCATTAAATATCTACAAAGACCATATAATAATAGCATAACAACCTATTTTCTATTATGTCATTTTCAACTATAACATGAATATAGTGTTATCTGTTATCTACAATTATGCAAATAGATTTTTTTGTTGAGCCTTTTTTAATATATATAACACAAATTCACGCTATTGCTAGATCAATATATTAATTAAATAATAACATGGAATATGAGATAAAGGAATTAGACATAAAAGATCTGCAAGAAGAAATTTTACGTAAATGTAGAAAAAAAGCGGAATCTTTACCTTCTCAAGATGTAACGGAAAATAATGAATATCAGAAGGATTTACAAGAAAAAGATACGTTTTCGGTAAAAACTGATCAAATTGCTGAAGAAGCACCATTTGTGGATATATTGGCCGAAAAACGTCGAACATATACAGCTAAAGAAGAGTTTATCTATTCATTATATAGTGATATACTTCCGGCTTTTGTAATTGAGTAATTATATTATTTTCCTGCAATAAAAAATTATTATTACTAAATGATTACTTCAGTTTAATCTTTACAGATGGGACGGCTATTTCTTACGGAAAAAACCGTTCATAAAAAAATTGAGTAATGACAATAAAATTGACGAAGAAAATATAATTGAGAATCATGACAAAAACAATGATTTATTCATTAAAGAAGACAGAAAGAAAGATGAAACATTTCTATCTTGGAAGCTTTCATCGCCGGATGAATTTGTCAATATAAAGTTTAACAACAAAAATTCTTATCACGGTTACATCAGTAGAAAAATGATGGAGGGTGAAGGAACATATAGATGGCATGATGGCACCAAATATCAGGTATCAACAAATATGCATTTACTTTAATAAAAATATATGAAAAAAAACTTTGAGAATTAAAATACGTATAATTATAATGCAATTAATATTTTTCAAAATAAATATATGTCATTTTTTATTTTACTTCAACATTTCAAAATTAATGTCACTCTCAAATGTGATATTTATGTTTACATTTTTTATACTTATTTATGTTTGATTTTATTTACATTAGAATAAGAATAAATTTAAAAAATTGTATAGGGTCAATTTGAAAATAATAAAATTCAAGGAAGAGGTCGTTTAGAATGGACCAATAATTGTTGGTACGAAGGCGACTTTGTGGACGGTTTTCGGCATGGTAAGGGTATCTTAGTGGATAGAGAAAATAAACGCTTGTATATTGGTCAATGGCACATGGGCCATAAACATGAAGAAAAGTAAATCATGTGAGATCTAAAGATTCTAATCAATCGCTTGTTTTGATACACTGACCATTACACAATTGTGATTAACGATCAATGCGTTGTCTTATGTGTAAAATAATTAATGATTGATACCTTGTTTTATATATAAAATACTTGTATCGCCTGATAAGCCTAAGGCTTAAAGATTTACCTGAGTTAATTTAAGATAACTTGAATTTTGTCTACAATAAATAGAGAACTTTTAAAACTACTTTAATGAGTATCTTTTATGTAGTTTGTAAATCATATCTGCGTAATTATTAGTCTTTATGAAATATTAATCTTCCAACCCATCACTTTTCATTGTCCGAAATTTCTACTCACCTTATCCTAAGGATCTCTCTTTACTTTCTTATCTTTATCTTCATCGCTAGTTTAAATTGTCCCACGTACATGACATAATTGTTAATGTAATCCTAATAATAAAATCAATTGTTGATATCATCTTAACAATAGTCTTCAAAATCAACGATGATTAATGAATTATAGCTATGTATCCATTTGTGAAATTTTATATCGTGAATTTAGCTACATTAAATTAATTAAGGCGGGTATAAATTTGCATTAAATACGTATAAAGGTTTTTGCACAATCGATCAAATTGTATTAGGCCAATCAGATCGTTGGACAACTTTGTCGATGAACCAATGACAGACCCGCCGCTGCCCACCGTTTGCGAATGGCAGTTGGCAAACTAACGAATAGCGCACGACCAATGATACCAATCGAATCTGCTCACGGTCGGCTGTGCTAGCAGAAGGATTTCAATATTGACGCGCATTTGACGCTCTCGCGGTCGTCGTGAAGTGTACGAAAGCAAGCGGCATTATCCGCGATAGGAATCGCCCTCCACGGCCAAAGGAACGCGACTTATCGACGATATACATTGACGAGGAACAATGTCGGACGCGATAATAGATGAACGGTAATTATTATTGCCGAATTGCCAATAATCTGTGTAAGATGAGTGAACGTGTGGCTTTCTGGAATTCGCGATGTTGCTGCTTGATCGAGTGAAGTCGCGACCTTCCTGAAAAATATTTTAGGAGCCTCCGTCTTATTGGTTCTTTTTTGAATTTTGTTTCCAGTATTTATCAACTACTGATTTTATTAATGCATATATATATGTATATATATACATATATATATATATACATATATATATATATATATATATATATATATATATATATATATACATATATATATATATATATATATATATATATTTATCAGTTTGCACATATGTTTGCATAAGCTTGTGATTAGCATAATTGTTCTATTTTTGGGCATTTTTTCTTATAAATATTTTGCTAACATATATTTTACTTAAATAGTATTATAAAGAACATAAATTTCAGCAAATACAAAAATTAAGTGTCAGAAACAAACATCTGACATCTTGTTTTTATCTATCTAAATAAAAGTATATACTATATGGTCAGATATATTTTTTGAAGTTCAGACTTGAATGAATTAAACAGCCACAAATTTTGCACAATATTCTGCAAAAGTAGATGGTTTTCAAAATTTGTTAGCTTTGCATTTGTAATTTAAGATTTTTATTTAAATGCTATGGTTATGTAAATATTATGATATTTATAGAGTGACTGATGAAATTGAGGCATTGAAAGCAATCCTGTTGGACAATGAGCTTAACATCAAGGATAATGATAGGTATGTATATGTATATATAAGAATATAATATTTTTGTTGAACAAAAGATAATTTTAATGCTTATTATACATTGCTAAAATTTTTCATGAAGTTGAAAATAATTTAGTAGTGTGTAGTAATTATGAGTAGTAGATAGTTTTTGAATTATCTTATTTTTGAAAAACAAAAATTATCAAGTTTTATAGCTTATATAAAACTTTAATTTTCTATCATTTATAATACAGTTGCAATTTTTTTTGTCTTAATGAATATTTGAATTGCTACAAACTCTATTATGTTACTATTGTTAGATTATTTATAATATTAATTAACCACATAATCCTGGCTAATTTATAATGTTAATAATTTACACAGTGGAGAACCAGAATGTATCGAAACAATATTGTTTCCGTCAACTGGGGAGGATTCACAGTCACAATATGTTTGCGTTACACTAGTTGTACGATTACCTTTGGGTTATCCTGATGTTTCACCGACTATCAATCTGCGAAATCCAAGAGGATTGGATGAGGATACGGTGAAACTAATGCAATCTGATGCAGAGGCTAAATGCAAAGATTTCATAGGTCAGCCAGTCATGTTTGAATTGATTGAGGTGAGAAATTAACCGATCAATTTCTCTTTTTCTTAATCAGTGATTTCACTTTTATTGCAACTTTGCTTTACAGAAAATAATAATGGATTTTTACATCTAAAGATTTTTTTAAATTTTGCATTAAAAAGCTTTAAATTTAAAAATATATTGCACATTTTTTACATTATAATTTATAAATTTTTTTTTAAATAACTATTTTTACAATTAAATACATAGTACAAGGCAATAAAATATATTCTAACTTTTATTTGTAATGTAAAATATGGAATATAATTTCTCTTGATTTCTAAATAAAATTATAGTTTTTTTAATAATCGCATTTTAATACAAGATGTAATAATATAATATAATGGTAATAACAGTAGCAATTTTGTTAATAAAATGATAATTACGGTATAATAAAAAAAAAATATCTATAGTAGTAGCAGTAATTTCATTTCATATAATAATAATGGTGATAATTTAGTTAATACGGGAACATTTAACAAGGAGCAATCTTCCCACCGATCAGTGCGCAGTCTGTTTGTACGGTTTTCGGGAAGGAGATGAATTTACAAAAACGGAATGCTATCACTACTTTCACTCGCACTGTCTGGCGGCACATGTTGCCGCCGCTGAAAGATATTATAGAGAAGAGCAGGAGAAGTTACCGCAATGGCAACAGGATACCACGAATAAATTTCAAGTATGTTTGTGTTTTAAATGTAGCTATTGCAGATTTCTCTTCATTCTAGTAATTCTTTCCCTCTTTATAATATTTAAAAGAATGATTATTTTCTCTTTATATTTATTCTTTAGGCTATATGTCCTGTTTGCCGAGAGTCAATCAACTGCGACGTCGAGAACTTGTGGTCGGCACCTCCGCCAATTGATGTCGAGGCCGCTACCGATTTCTCTGTCACCGCCGAATTGAGAGAATTGCAGAAACAGATGGCTGCTCTGTATCTGCGGCAGCAGCAACGAGGCGGTATAATCGATTTAGAAGCCGAAGGTGTTAAGATGTTGGTAAGAACGGACGACGATCCTGCCGCTAGCACCGAAGAGGTCAGTCCTCCTGGCACGAGTTTGAACGCGTATTCAAATACCACCTCTGTGCAACCGGTTTCTCAAGTGGTAAGTAATCAGTCGTTTCGACAGCCGCGATAGAATGAATAACAAAATATCGCTCTTTCGCAGAATATTTAGAATTCAAATAAAATTTAATACCCCTAGCTTAATATTTAGTAGATTTAAAATTTCGAATAAAAATTTTAACTTGTTAAAAGAAGAAAAACAAGATACAGAAAAGATTTTATTTTATATATTTTTCCTCACGAGAGATTCTCAATGAGATTTTTCGTTTTTTCGCAATAAGAAATTTAGAAAAAAATTTTGTATAAAACCTGGAAATGTTTTTGAATTGTAGTAGTATTATAGAAATATCACTTTTAAGGCAGCTCAAATAGAAGAAATAGTAAGTACAAATCTCACTAATGTGAGACAGAGAGTTAACCGTTTATCGTTAACAATATGTGCAATCTTTGAATTATTTTTTTATAACTTTTAGTCGTTTGGTTTTTTTCATGTCTCTGAACTGCCTCGTGTTAATCAAGCGTTTTCGATTTTTGCAGCACTCAAAGCCAACGCATCAGACACAGAATCACCATCACTCGCAGTTCCAGTCGCGCCAGGTGCAACACAATCATGGCCATAATAATCATAATCACGGTCACCGACACCGAGGTCGCGGCCGGGCCCATTACCGGCGTCACTTTGACAGAGTCAGACACGCGGAATCTACTCCCAGATGACAATGGGCTCGTGACACGCTCGCCGCTCAAATCTGGTCTGGTCCTCTCTTCGCTCTTTCGCTAAGTGTATACAATATTCTGATTAGCATTAGTAGCGTAATCGTCAATGTAATATACAATGGTTGTCTATCCTCCTCGAGTAGTTTCGCCGCGATTATAAACTTATAGGTGTCGTTGTTCGACGGCAGCATCCTCATTGTCATCGTTATGACGATGAGGTGCGTCGCGACTTCCTGTTTGGGCTGTCTACATAGACCGAAGCTGTGGTGCTCTCTCTTCGAACGATCCGCAATCGTACAAAGTAGCTGATATTGTTTCACCTTAGTTCCTTTTATTCTTTTCTCGCTTTATAATTTGTGCGGGATTTCGTGACATTCGATCCGTCGGTTCTCTTCGTCTTTCGCGTAAATAAATAATAATGTTTTATATATTGAAAAAAGTCACAAACAGTAGCAAGTTTTTCCTCAACGTTTAAAAATATCGTTATTTATAAATTTATTAGACTCTCCTGAGTTTATTTTAAATTTATTACATTAATTGAGCATCGGTTGCAAAGATCTCAATTATAGTTTACACATCTTTTTATTCAAAAGTTTTACAACCTTATTAGTTCATTTATGTTAAGTGAAAAAAAAAAAATTATACTTACCGTATGTCAAGAAAAGGTACAGCAATTTTCAACTTGAAAAGGAAATTTTTGAGTGACATCCGGAAAAATTACTTCTGTTTTCCTAAAATAGATCATCTAAGGACTAAAGAATATACAAATTAGAATGTCTTCGCGACCTTAGACTATATAATATTCATATGTGTGCAATCAAATAATAATGTAAGAATTATAATAATTAAAAAATACAAAGAAGTTAAATATTGATATATAGTAAGAAATAAACTTAAATTAGGTGTTAAATTATCATTCCGCTACAATTACATTGCATCGAGAATTACTGAGCAGATAGGAAAAGAAAGCGCGCTTGAAGCAATTTAATAGCAGTGCAATTTTTATCGACAGCGCGAGTATAGATAGAAATTGAATTCCCAAGCGATACAATTTTAGAAGGCGAAGAGAACCGATGTTTCAAATATCACCTTACTTTTATATTCACTGCCACGAGTGCGAGAAAGTCACTCAAATTCATCTGCAATGATTATCTTTTTTTGATTTTATCGTCTCTGTCACGATGCTGATATTACGCATATAAGTACTTTTTAATTTTTTATTTTTTATTAAAAATGATCTATTAAAAGAAATGCATCAAATTTGCATTTAAGACATTAGTTGCTTCACCTGACGCATTCTTTTTAAATGCACAATCCTAGACGATAATATTAAAAAAATATAACAATGCGAATAGTTTACAATTCAATCTCGTGCAACAGTGAGTTATAAGAACATTTAAGCAATCAAAAATTCTATTTAAAAAATATTTTATACTTTATATGAAATTAACATAATCAAAATTAACGGACACCATTTATTATGCTCAGCATATGATACTGCATAACGCACTGGATTATAATCGATATAGCTTTGATGAATTTAAATTCAACAAAATTATATCAATTTCTACTCCTGTTCTAATATTCTTCTAAATATTTAATGACAATTATAAAAATTTATATAAAATGTCCTAAAAGTCGCTCTACCAAAATTATATTAGAAAAATTTTTTCTATATGTGCATATTGAAATTTAAAGTTGGAACTTTCTTTTTTTTCAATTATTCAATTTTGTTAGGAATCATTAGATTTTGTAGTAAAATGTGATATTTCAAACAGTTTTGAGTAGCATTTAGAGCGATCTTTTAGAACATATTATATATGCGAATTGTGTGCCATACAATGCTCATTCCGCTCACGAAGAAAGTATATGGCATATCTGAACATTTCCTGGAGACGTTTTGCAAATTGATACGCTTTAGAATAGCATAAACTTGTAGGAAAGATCCGTCTTTACGTCGTTCGCAGTTCGAGTTTAACGTCGAAGTGCCTACGATCGGCAAGCATAGACAATTGTGATAAAAAAAAAAAAAAAAAAAGTGAAGCGTATTCATTGCGTCAGATTCAAACGCAGGACAAGTTTCGTATTAGACACAACTAATTCTGTTAAGAAGAATTAATTCTGTTAATTTAAGTTATACTCCTTCGTAAAGTTCCTTGTATTTGCACTGTAGAGTTCAGTTTACATATTTTTGCGTGAACTCAACTTTAATTTTAAGGGGACGTAGGCATCGTCTATTGTAGATACTCTCTCAATATATGTATATGTATATTATATCGAAAAAAAATTGTTAGCAACCTTGTGTATAAACTCTTCCACATGAATGTGATACTTACAAAAGGGTAATAGGCTAAAGTAATGAAATTTTAGCCGCACGAGAATTCGAATGCTTTCAAATTGCCCACAAAATTTTCCCACTTTAAATTAACCAGTTAATTTACTTTGGAATTCAATCAGTTAAGTGGTTTTACTTTTTAGAATTGAATTTTTAACTGAATTTTCTAATTTCCTTAATTGAATTTTTGTTAAAAAATTTGAAATTAATGTAAAATACACAAAGAAGTTTATGGCTGTAATTTAGCACACATCAGACATATTTGGCTGTACTAGCTATTATGATATTTACATAATTAGTAAAATGTATAATTCATAAAATGCTTTTGTAATGATTAAAGTTAAAGAAACAACAAAATTGAACTGACAATGAGTTAAAGACTCGTTGTCGTATATGAACTGCTTTAAAAGCATTTTTGGGTAATGTTATCATTAAATTATAAAAATAATTTAAATTGTAGTGTCTTGTCTTGATCTCTAGATAAGAAATGATAATAGAAAGATAATTTACTAATATAAACTAATCATATTTAAATGATAGTCGCCAGCAAAAAATACTAAAAAAAATTGTGTATTGCTCTGAGAGATAATACTTTCTTTTTATTAAGTACATATTGTTTAAGTATTTCAAGGAATAATATTTAAATTTGTTTCAAATATGACTACACCTTATTTTAAAATTAATATCCTTGTGGAAGTCTAAATAATATTCGAGTCGATTTAGTTTTGAAGATTTTTATACATTATGAATGTGGAAATCACTGTCTCTATATATCGAATATAATAATTAAGTTACTCCTGCGATCTATTTCTATTTGTAAGTACCAAAGAATGTCGGATTATTAAAAAGAAAAAAAAAGAGAAAAAAACACAGGGATTTGACTTTGTATAGGGAGTACCTATTTACTCCTCTCTTACGTTTTACGCATGTCTGTGATACTTTAGAAAGCGATGATTTTTATTTAGTTTTTTATTATGTCACTTTTTTACATTCATATATACAGATATCACTGTGTGCAAGCACACTCGGATGCCTCAAGAACTTGCCAAGTATACGCAGCTTCTGTACAATGCGATGCGTTATTACATTATCTTCGACTAAAAAAAAGATGTATAACACGTACATTAAACTCTTATTTGAAAACGTTTTGTTTATTTTCGTTATTTATATATTTACCATTATCCAGCACGGAATTAATATGAGGCTAAGCAGATTTCTCTTTAGTTTTCTCTTATTACTATTTCTTTTGTATTTATTCATTTATTATATATATTTTTTTAAATTCAACTTGGTATTTCTAGGCACGTATAGTCAAGTTTTTTATTACGATTATCTCGCAGAGTGATGAAATTGTTTGTGTAACTTAATATATATTGATTTCTCTCTTTCTGCATTTTATTAAGATTCTATGACGCTGTAGAGCAATCCAATAAATACAAATTTTTCATATTAGTTTTCTATATCCGAAGCTTTTTTGATAGATGCATTTTCTTAATCTAGAGAAGTCGATTCCCAAAATCTGATTAATTAAAGTGTGATATTATTGACATGAGTTTTGACATAGAGTTTTATCAATATCTATCCATGTGTTTAATTAGTATCGAATTAAGGCACCTTTCTCGCAATTTAGCGTCATAGGAATAATAAATAGAAAATTACCAGGCGAGATTGTTGAAAACATATACGCAAATTTTCCAATAACGTATATACATATATTTAGATCTGTCATCATATTTTCAACGCATTTGTCGCGTTCGAGTTCTTACGGAAACAATACAATGCAAAGTCGGGGTAATTATATTCATGATAATATTCAAAGCTGTTGTAATATATACATATTATATACGTAATTATATATCTATTGTTATGCAGAGAATTAGTGTAATTCACATTTCTACGTTCTTTTCTTTTCACGACGAAATTTATGTAACGAATAGAATTTTAAAACAATATTTGAAAAATCAACATTCTTCTTTATCGCGATTCTACGGACACCATATTACAATATATCTGATATACGAAAGATATTTACAATGTCTCTCTATTTCTCTTTACAGTAACTGTAAGTACATAAGATATCGTCGCACTCACTAATTTATTCTGTATATTTTATTTTATTTTTAATAAAAAATATTGCACACAGTTTGCATCAATCTTACTGCAACATCTCGGTAAAAATTTCTCTTTGATAACAATATATGAATATATCCCTCATCTCTTACATTTTTGTAATACTGACATTTACATTATGTTGGCCATTTTTTTATATTAATACAATGATATTTATATTGTATATAGCTATTGCGCTTATAATAGTTCTGATTGCGATAAGCATTAGTGTTTATATTCATACTTATTTGCAAAATAAATAATGTCGATAGATTTCTCCCATCATTTGGCAAATTTAAATAATACGCATTTTTCAATCAATAGCTGCAAGCCGAATATATCGAATACAAAGATAAGAACATATAAATATATAACACATGATAAATAACAATTATATAAAATATTCAACAATAACAAATAAATATTAATGCTGTCATTTACAACCTCTTATAGCTCAGTTAATAATACTATCATCAAATATTGAAAGTAATATTTACATTCAGTTTATCTGTCAATTATGGTCCTAATTTGAATTCAATTAAATACGATATATGTGAATGCTTCATATAGATTGGATATATCATTATTTGCTTTGCCTATATTTTATTCGCGTATTAGCGAACAAGAAATAGATCTCAAGCTACGTGGAATCTCTTGTAGGAATCACATCATTAAGACTGGAATGAAAACTCTTTTTCTGGTTCAATATGTTGCATTGGTTTCGAAATATCTCTATCGTTGACCGAAGTGTGTTCAGCTCTTCTTGCATTGGCAAGCCGAAGTCTTTGCTTCGCGCAAGGACGTCGACAGCGCTGTTCAATAATACTGAGTTTATGGGAGACGGCGACGGAATGTCCAACGAAACCGAGGAAGTATTAATACTGTTGCTGTCGCCGTATCCTTCGTCAACACTATCGTCGGTTATCCTCGTCACCGATTTCAATCGGTCTTGTAAATCCTGCAAAGTGTACAACAACAAAATTTTTGCATGTTTCATCTTTTCTTGAGATAATATTATTTTATTTATTTTAAATAGCGTATCAGAATAAATTACCTTGTTTCTTGATAGAACTTGTTGCAGGCATTCGCGCAAAGAATGCTCAGTTTTATTTCTCTGGAAAAGAAAAACGAAATATTAAATACTTTTCTGATGAGAAATTATATTTTAATTATATGTTATAATTATATATATGTGAGGAAAAATAAGATGATGATGTTATTAGCAATAATATTAATATACCATATTGTTAAGTTGACTGTTCATCTGCTTGTAATAGAGTTTCTGCTCTAAATTTTTTATCTTCGTCTTTTCTTCTCTGAGTTTCTTAAGCAGAGCACCGTTTGCCTTGTGCGATAATGTTCTCAAGCGTCTATTCTCATTCGTGAGATCTTGCATGGTACTCAATTTCTCCTCGTATTCCGCGTTCTTGGACTTCAAGAGCTTGTACTGCGCTATCATCTTGCCCAGCTGTATTCTCAGATGAGCTATCGCGTCCTCCACTTGACTTTGCTCTTGTTTGGATGCCAATAAGGAGGTCTGCAACGTCTCATTCTCAGAGCTCAGTTTCTGCATTTCGAATTGCGTTTTTCGCAACTGATCAGCGGTTTCATTTTTCTCCGTTTCGCATTTCTGCATACACTCCTCCATGGACGAGATTAGGACGCGCTGCTTGCTCAGTGTATTTTCCATTGACATCCTGGCTATCTCGTTACTCAGCAGGCGCTGCTCCAGCGTTTTCAACTCGGCTTTAGTGTTTCGCAACTCATCCTCAGTCGCCTCCAGCATCATAGACATGTCTGTTGAACTACCCGTCGAGTTTCCGTCCGACGTATCGTGCGCCATGTTAACGGAACGGATATGCGACTGCAGATTCTTGATCGTACTCTGCATCTCCTGCTTCTCTCTTTGATACTGTTGCGCGAGTTCGGTATACTCATTGCTCAGTTTCTTATAACTGGCGTTCACATCCGCTATCGCTTGTTGTCGTTGCTTTAGTATGTTTTGATACGTGTCTATCTCCACCTGCAAGCTCTTCTTGCCAGCCATCAGGATGTGCACCTGCGACTGGTACCACTTTGCGGAGGCCTCCGCCGTGGACAAACGGTTATTGGTATCGGTCAGCGTGTTTTGTAGTTTGTGCTTGTCCTGCAGCACCGTTTGCATCTCCACAAACAGCTCGGTTATCTTGCCTTTGAGACCCTGGTTCGCTGCAATCCGAGCGTTGAGATCAATCCGCACGTTTTCCAAATCTACACGTAGCCGCTCATTCTCCAGTTCCAGTAGGGCGACTCGCTTGGACAGTTCAATGTTTGAGACGTCAGGTGTAGAGAGATGTCGCAGATGGAATTCATCTGTGATCAATTGAAGAGAGTCTGTCGAAGTTACGGAGTCCAGCTCCCCTCGAAATGAATCCGAAAGATTGTCCATTGTGTTGATTTAATTGCAAGTAGATATTTAATTATAAACCACTGTGTCCATTGTGTGTACTCGGCGAAAGGTCATCACCTGAATCTGTATAATTAACATCAATAATTAGCAATTAACAATATGGCACATGTGTTTGGAATGACAAGGTTTTGAGCGCTATATGCAGAAATGTTTCATAGGCTGCGTTCCGTAAAGAGCATATGCGCGCATGTATCTACAGTATACGTAACGTATACTGTAGATACATGCGCGCATATGCTCTTTACGGAACGCAGCCATTGACGTTGTATAAAATTATGTTATATCTATATGTTATATGTTTACATATATAAATTTTAATCTTAAAGAAGTAATTCTAAAAAAAAACCAAATTCTTGCCATGAAAATTAGTTTTCCAGATTCTAAATATATGTACAATACATAACAGATGTCAAAGTGTAAATATAATTAACGAAAATTTTGACTTAACCTTTCTTTAAGATTAATTAAAAAATTTTTAGTCTTTGCAATAAATATGACAGTTGCAACATTTTTAAACCGTAAATTTTCCTTACAACTCAAATGACTGAGTTAATGATAGCTGTAATCATATGATTACAGTAATATTAATATTATTTCCAGTATGGACTAATGTCATTTGTATTTCGTAGCTTTATTGTAAACAAATACAAAAACTGCAGAACCTTACCTGTAATATTATTCTTAAATAGTTGAAAACATTTTTTTTGCAAATCTAGTCACCATTCAACATAATATATGTATTATACTCAAAACGCAGCATCTGCAAAATTATTTCGGGCATTACAATGGCTACGTGCAGAAAATGATTGTGTAAGTGAAGTGGATGTGTAGCCAGATTTGAGACGCAAGAAGCGAGCAGCATGGATGGAGGGGGGCAAGCCACCCAAGATAAAAGAAGAACAAGCATCCCTTAGACTTTTTCTCTCTTGGCACAGAATCATTTTTAGCTTGGGGTGCATATATGTATAAGCAGAGAGAAGACTGAGAGTAGACATGCCCGCATTTTACGTGCAGAGAGAAGACTGAGAGTAGACATGCCCGCATTTTACGTGTTTCCGTGGGTTAGCGCCTCTATGTGCACAAAACGTGCACATTGAACTACGTAGCCAATGTCCACGAATCCCGTAGGCAATGTTCACGATCTTTTGGGTCTCTTCCGTGCTACGTCCACGACTTTTTGGTTCCGATATGTGCTATATCTACAAAGTGTCGATAATGCATACTTGTAAAACATGATTATGTATATCAATCAGATTTGAAATAATACACACGTATTGTAAATTATTTGCAACATGCAACTGCATACTTTTTTTTAAAACCAATGTGTTTTCTTTATACCAATTGATTCGTCTCATTATTTTATGCATAAAAGTATTAAGGTAAAATTCCCAAAAATTGAATGTTTTACAAGATATTTTGTATTTTATGTCAAAATACTGTAATTTACAAGCCTCATAACTCGAAAAGTACTTAATGAAAAATAACTTCATTATAGTGTTTTAAAAAGCTCTTGACACCAGCTATTAGATTTTGGAATAAAAAATAGGGGTTTCCATTTTAAAAAATTACTCTGACCTTCAAATGACCTTCAAGGTCACGGTCAAGGTCAAATCCAAGATCACCATTGAAAAGCCAGAGAAATTTCCTAAAACTTTTGTATTTAACATTTTTTCGTAAAATGCCTTTCTCAAAACTTATTCGGGGGTTTCCATACTTTTGCCTCACCCTGTATATTTTCCACATTATAAGATATTCCTTGGCGTTCAGAGTTTTAATTTTGATAAATAATTTACTATTTTATTTTTTGCCTTCTATTGTATTTTTAAAATTTTTATCTGTAGATTTGTCAACGTAATCCAATATAAAAATTAATTTTACTTGATTAAAATTCCACGTTTTAAAGCTTTTTGAGCGTTTTTCTATTTCGTATTGTAACACAAATAAATAAATATATGAATAAAAATTAAATTAATAAATGCTCACGCAATAGAAATGTCACGAAACACGTCGCTTTGCGTGAAAACGGCTGCCAACGCAATAAATTTCGATTAAATAAATCTTTCGAAATACGCAATTTAATCGATGTACAATGCGAAATTTGTTACACAATTCTTATTTATTGAGATATATAATTTGTATTTTCCATTTTCTATTACCTATTTGAAGTAAATCAATTGCGCAAAATTCCTTCTTTTATGATAGATAGATACTTGATGCTTGAATATTTATTTCTTTGTGAATATTGATTTATATTTAATTAAAATTGAATTGAGGTAATAAAGGATAAAAATTATAAAAAATTAATTTTGATAGTTATAAATTTGTATATAAATGACTCGTTAAACCGTGTATTTTGCAAAATTTATTTCATCGAGATTTATTGTGTGGAAAGTCGGTATTCATACACATACAAAACAGTATTTCTTTTTTAAACATTTTATTTCGAGGATATTTATTTTTAATTTTAACTTATATATTTATTTATATAAAAATATAAGACAACGTAAAACGTCGTAAATGTATTAAAATGCGGTATTTTAATGGAATAAAATCAATTCTCATCTTAGACAAGGCTAACGAGTTTAAAATAACGCTGCAAAAATTGTGATAATAATTTATTTATGAAAGTTTACATATTTATTTATATTTTAATGTTATGATATGACATAAAAAAGTGCTGTCAATGCTGTAAAACGCGAATATATTAATGAATACATTTCATTTTTATGCATAAAACATAGAAAGCGTATTCAAGTAGTTTAGGCGTAGTATAAACGCGACACAGACGACGTACAAAATTAACTATACGACTTTTTATTTCTCTTTGCTATCGTTGATTGTTATCGTGAATCCCGAACGTGCAATTATATTTTCGAGTTGTTTCTTTCATAATAATTAATCAAATTTTTGCCAATATATCGTATTATTATAAAATTTTAACAATGAGAGGAAGAGAAAACATAGTTCAGTTTTTAATTTGTTTTGTATTGATATAGTATACAGTATAAAATAAATGCTAAAGCAATAGTATAAAATAGATAAATGATAAAGATATAGTATAAAATAATAGTATATAGTTAATAAAATTTTATTTATAAATGTATAAAATATATTTAACTATACAACGCAAGAATGTTAGAGCACTAAATACACATTATTATAACCATTTCTTAGTTTATCACGTGTAATGAGAAACGTCACCATTTCCCCATGCTTTGCCATTAGAAATTTTTTTTCGCCATTTTTTTTGTCAGTAGATTTCGATGATAACTTCCTTTCTCGGTTATTACTATGCCATACGCCGTACAAGAAATACAGAACCAAATCTATGATAACACACAAACAGCTCGATATATTTAATTAATTTGTACACAAATACATATATTTGTTTTCTGGTAATACACTTATCAATTGTTATCGATTCGGCAAATATTTCCCATATTTGTTTATCCAACATCGTCATAAGATAAATGTTAACCAGTTGAGTGGTAGACTTTTCCGAAAGATTTGTGTCAAAAGTTAGAATATCGGAAAACGGTGAAACATGGGTTCAAAGTTTTCGAAAAAGCAACTTTTCGGAATGGGTGTGGATTCCCCCCCCCCTGCCCCTGGGGGCGGGGAGCAGAATAGGGGTCTAAAATGTTAAATGGCACTATGGATCGAGTAGGGATTATTTGAAAGGGCGTTTCAAGACAAGAACAATGATTTTTGAAAATGTTTACTACGACTTTCCAGTTAAAAGTGGAGATGGATCAAAAAAGGGGGGAAGACTTCCGAAAAGCTATCACCTCCGATTTGGCTTATATTCAGCCTAAATACTTATTTTATCTAAATACTTATTTTATCTAGTAAATAATATTTCCAAATGGATTTTTGGCGCAAATGCCCCCTCCGCCCCCTAGCCCCCCTCAAAGGTTAAAAAATAAAACTGTTTTTGTTAATTGTTTCAGAAAATATTCATTGTACGAAAAAAGTTGTCAAACAAAAAATGAAGCTCATAAAAAGCTCTACAAATAAATATTTCACCTAACTCTAATATTTTAGTCGTTTTAACAATTAACAATCGCCATATTGGATCCGCCATTTTAAATTTTACAATTTTGACAATAGATTCGAGTTCAGCAGTCCAAAAAACCTTAGGATATCAACTTTTATGTAAATCTGTTGAAAATTAGTGAAGTTATTTAGAAATGTACATATATGATACATTACCACGTTTGGCACTTTTTTTTTGTACATATATGATACATTACCACTCAACTGGTTAATTCAATATAACAATTATATGTATTACAAAATTATATATTTTAATGTGTGTAAAAGATAAAGAAACATTAAATAAAAATAAAAATTATACCTGCAAAATCACACCTAAAAAATAAAAACTTAATTAAAATCTGAAAAATTAAAATATTAAGTTAAAATCTGAAAATAATTATAGATAAAAAATTAAAAGTTTTATGACGCTACATCAAACAGCATGTTAAAAAACTTTCTTAAAAGCATTAACCAGATATACATATACATATCAAATATATAAATATAAAAGATAAAGAAACATTAAATAAAAGTCTGAAAAATCATACCTGACAAATTACACCTAAAAAAATAAAAG